CAATCACCGATTCAGTTGTCTGTTTGAGCGATAGATATTCTTAAGCGAGTCGCTCCCTCTCTACCAGTGGAACATACTCTTCTTTGAACTTCTCAACAAATTGTTCCCAAGTCAATGTACTCATCTCAGTAGGTGAATAGTTCTTGGTGACAAGGTTCCACCAATCCTTTTCTCCTAGACGTACTGCGCATATATGAACTTCATGTTCTCGGGACAAGCACAAGTGTAAAAGCATCCTTCCACATATGAGATTGTAACGCACGCAGATTCGGGCTAGTCAATTTAGAGACAATAAGCATTAAAAATGACTTTTTGATGGAAGATTATTGATAATAAATAATATTAACTAAGTTATAGTATATGTCACAAGGGTTTCGTACAAATAAAGAACGCTGAAATCCGAGTTATAACAAAGAAGTTATAGCTTGTCGAAGGTTTACGGCAAAACCGACATGACACCGGGAATCGTAAAAAGTGAGTTTGCGATAAAATACTTTCTAGTCTTAGCGATCTTAACGAAATTCGTAGTATACGTTAAACCGAGAGCGTGCATGAAAAGAACGTCAAAATCTGACTTCGTATGAGGAAGTTATGATTTTTCTAAGATTTAGCATAGCAGTGCACAGCCCGGAATCCGAATTTTAGACCGACCGATTTTTAGCCAACACAATCTAAAGTAGAATTGAAGATCTCGTTAATAGGAGCTCAACGATATAAAGACAAACAAAACGGATGTCGGATGATAAAGTTATAAATTTTTAACGGACTTTACTTGTCTGGGCCTGTTAAAATATAACTTTAAAAATAAATTCAAAATTACCCGACAGAGTCTAAATGAAAGTTGTAGAGTACGTCGACGCCTACACGTGGATATAAAGAACGTCAAAAACGGAGCTCGTATGCAAAAGTTACGGATTTTAGAAGATAATTAGTTTTTGGAGTAATCTGCGAGTGACACGTGGCACAATCCTGACCATTGCTTCCTCCCCACGCCTTGCCACCAGATGGTGACACTTGGCACTCAACTCGACAAGTTGGAGGCTCAGAACTCACCGAGTTGGGCCATTTCCCAGCCTATAAATAGAGGCGCAAATCTTCCATTTCCTTCACACCTCTCCCATTCTTTCTCTCTCAAACATCTCTCTAAACCCCTCCCAAGCCTTAGTACTTTCCAAGTGCTAAGAGGTGAGTCTCGGAGCGCCAGAAGGCTCCGAGAAGAAGAGCTTTCTGCTCGGAAGTTCTGCCCCCCGCAGAGCCCGGTTCCTAGCCAACCCTCCTAGTAAGCGAGTTATGCTTACCCTACTTTAAGTATAGCTTATGTTTAAGTTCAATATCGTTATTATGAACTTATAAACAATATATATTATAAAATATAATATACAAAGTGTTATTATAATATCTTTTAACCACTCGCGGTACGGGGAATCAAGTTTGAAGGGCCGCATAGGGTTGTTGGATTTCAGAAGTGTTATAATGCCAAAATGGTCCTGCTCGCCGGTGTTTCATGTCTGGCCCCTGTCTGTGCATAGTGGTTGAAAATTATTGTTTAACACTTATAAAACAATATCGCTCGTAAATAGTCGCAATAAATATTAGAGTAAAATCTAGCGGTAATGATACTAGGTTTCGTCGAAGGAAAAGCCGATTGTTAGAAGCGAAGCGCTGTCCAAATTTCGAGTCATCACTTTAACAAGTGAGTGCATAGTTACTTTCATCTTACACATAGATATGAAGTATTTAATATAAATTGCATGTTGTGTGTGCATATTATCTGTGTTCTTGATATCTATGCTGGATGAACAAAATATACATGTTTTATTTGATTTAAACTGTATATGTATTTTATGCCAATAAAAATAATTAGGTAGAGATGGGTAGATGAATGATGAGAGATGAAATATGATATAGATGAACATTGGCAGCTATGGACTTAGTGCCAAATAGATAAACCCCGGCAGCTATGGACTTAGTTCCTTACAAATGAACATTGGCAGCTATGGACTTAGTGTCTTACAAATGAACGTTAGCAGCTATGGATTTAGTGCCCTATAAATGGATATTGGAAGCTATGGACTTAGTGCCTAACAGATAACATTGGCCGCTATGGACTTAGTGCATGTTGGATGAACCCTGACATCGATGGACTTTGTGCCTATTCCTCAGGACAATCCTTAGGAATGAATGAATGATGAATAAATAATTATTAGGGTAGATCCTTAAGAAAAAAGAAGATAATGGGGATGGGAAGTTGGGTTAATTGTTTGATGATTAAACATAATAATTATATTATTGTGGATTGAAAACCTTATGTACTCATCAGGTTTCCCAACCTGACCCACTCAGTTTATTTGTATCACAAGTATGGATACGAAGACGCATTACACTGAGAGATTAAGGGAGATGTAGATCATTAGTGTAAATGAATGTAATGTCTGTTTATGCTTATGTTTCTGTATTGACGATGACATCCCAAAGTTTTAATATAAACAAAATACATTTCTTCGAAAATGCTTTGATAATATTATTATCATGTTTTCTGAGAACAAATTCCACAATATTATTCTTTAAAATGAATACTCTGATTTTCAAATAAGCATAAATAAAATTTTTAAAATGACCGTGAATTTGGGGATGTCACAGAGATCCACCTCATGGAAACAATTGGATCCCTAACACTATCAAATTGGAGGTTTGGTGTTATTGAACTCTCAGTAGGGCATTTCCTTGTCTCCAGATGGGGTTGCAGCAGAAACAACAGCAGTGGCTGCAACGGCAACAGTACTAGCAAAGGCAGCGTACCGTTCATCGAACAGGGCTATCAATTTGTTCTTAATAGTTCCGAACATTTCTGGAATCATCTTTCTTACAGCCGCTGATACTTCCGTCTCTATCCAATCTCGTATATCAGTCTCGCTTGGTCTTGGCCTTTCAGATCCAGAACCCGACCCGCTTGCTCTTGTGATCATTACCATGTTGAAGGCGTAAATAGATTAATACGGATCGAGCTAACTCTAAAATGATATTCAAATCCTCTCCATATCCTTAGTAACTTTATGGCTTTTCTTGATTCCTGTATGGAGTCTGTGCTTCCGGTAGTACGGGCCCATACTACCTTCCACACCTATCCATACTAGATCAAAGAATTGCTCCAAGGTTTCCAAGTCACTACACTCTGCTATCGATAGGTCTTCACACACACACACACATACACATAGTGTTACAAGGACTTAATTATTTCTTTTTCCATATTAAGCATATATTAAACTTCCTCGACTACCTTGCTAGGATTCATTTCCACTTTTCTCTACTATTAGCTAAGGAAGAACTTCTACCAATATTAACTAATTATTGGACGAATACAATTACATTCCCTAAAATTAAACAGTCTGTCAACTGAAAGATTCGACACTACGATGATTAGACTCAAAAGAGCACTACACAATAGCGCCAAATCAGACAATCTAAAACTATTAAAATTTTTGGAGCATGCAACCTAACGTACTTGTTGAATAACTAATTAATATTCATATATGTTCTAAGTTGCAACTAACAAGCAAATCCCTATGCTATAAACCATCTTAAGTATCAGGCAATTTTATCTTGTAATTCTGAAAAGATCCCTAACCTACATACTAGCATGCATTTCTAACATTTCACATATCAACAATCATCACAATATGGATATTTTGGGAATCATTTTCCTTTCTGAGCTCCGACTGACTATATATGCATCGCATTCTTTCCTTTTGGATAAGGTTCTATTTTTTAAAAAAGATTTGTTAAGATATTCAGATCCTCGATTTGAGTTTGGAATCACACGAATGTTTATCCAATTCTCTCAAACCAAGGTTTTCATACAAACTTATAACGTCCCAATTTTCAACCCAAATTTTCATTTTTATTTATTTAAATATATCAGAGTATAATTGTATTTAAGCGGAAACATGATGCGAATGTGTGTGTGTACAGTCGAACCTTGCCTTTCTCACAAATCAATGAAGCAACTGAAAAATATTTATGAACAACTAGGTAAGCATGAAACTTAGTGAGTTCCCCAAAATACCATAAACCGCAATACATATACATGCATACAAACAATGGCTCACGATCTGCCAATAATATGTGTATTTTAGAGTTACGGCCCAACCATTTCGTCTTTAACACAGATCTTCATGTTCTTAAGGCATACATGCCATTTCGTCAATACGAGTCTATGTGTACTTACAGCCTACATGTCATTTTGTCAACACGCGTCCATGTGTACTTACGGCCTACATGTCATTTCGTCAACACGCGGGCCTATAGGCTCCTGACCTGTTTGTCGTTCCGTCATCATTCCCTAACTAAATCGCAATAGACTATTCAGATATCTCAACCATTATACATACATAGACTGCACTTTAGATTCTACTAGTACAGACACATTTATACTTTCTACTCTACCAGTTTCAAGTACATTTACTCTTGTTTTCTATCCTAACATACATTAACATATATTGTAATACATAGTATAGTAAGATAACTCATATTGATAGTTTCTCAGAACATTAACAGTTTTTTGGCGATCCCACTGGGCAACGCGCCTAACGAGTATTAACTTATAATACTATTAGTTTATAATCCTTATAACAGTCTAGTAATGAAAGTTATATCTTTCACTAATCTCAATGAATAGTAATAGTTCTATCAATTAAGGATCAGAACGAAAGCTAGATTTTTCCTAATGCACAACAATTTATGTTTTATAGAATTGTAATATACAATACTTTAATGCACAAATTGTTGTATATTAAAAAAAAAATATTGTGTACAAATTAGTACTCTTTTGAAATGTTTGACACCCGAAATATACTTTAGAGTAGCATCCAGCTTTTTTAAAGAATAAATATATATTCCAGCCTTAGTTGATAATTGGTGACTACAAAGGAATCTTCTTGGATCAAGAAACCTGACCACACAAATCTTTTCAAGTTTCACTTTAGTCACACACAACACCCTGACTACACTTTTTTCTTTGAACGACTCTGACTGCACCTTATCGCTTTGATTCCAGCTTTAGTCATGCATTGTACATTCTCCTCCCAAACAAAATAGTATTCATTGCCTAATACCATTTCTACTATTTTCTTTCAAAGCAACATTAACATTTTATAAAATAATTTAACATCACAAAAACAAATTTTATTAATATAAAAAAAAATAATAATAATAATAATAAAATAACTCTTGAATTAAAATTCAAATCGATTATTGAGAGAGATGAATGGTCACCAACCATCAAATCCATCACTTATATAAAGACAAACTGATCAAAAAAATCCAGTGAAAGAGGAAAAATAAATAAATATATAAATACAAACTTTGCAAATGGGACCATATTAGAATATTGGATGTGGGGAAGAGGCATCTGTGCTTGTTGCTACTTTGGAAGCAGTTTTGACTCCAAAATATGCATTCAATTTGATATATTAAAAGAGAGGTAATACAAAAAAAGATTACATTTACTAGTTTTTTTTGACTTGACGAGGGCAAAATCGTCATTTTCTTTTTAACAAATGCTTGAGTTCTGCTTTGAGGTTCATCATCTTCATCACTACTCTCATCATCTTTATTTGCAGGTTGAGATTCCTCAGCCATTTTTGCAAATTTCCGCTTTTGTGCGTCTAATTGTGAATGTAATTTTCTTTCAACAGGATCATTTGACAATCCAACTTTCTGTTGGCGGGGAACCACAGCACCAATTCCAAGCCTATATAAAAAAGAATAATTAATTAATTAATTAATTAACTAATATTACTAATCAAAATAAACAAAAATGACCAGAATGGGGGAAGGTGACTAACAAAATTGAAATTATTTTTTATATTTACACAGATTACTTTTTGCTGCAAAATCACATTTTTGATTTTTGAATGGTCCCCACAACAAACAATAAAACATCAAAGATGAAAAATCTTTGTAGTTCACAATAAAAAATTTTAAAAATAAAAATCTTTTAAAAAGTACATTAAGTGTTTTTTTTTTTTGTTTTGGCCTTTGGGAATCAACCATTCAAAGAGTAGTTTCACAGAGAAAAATGATTTCACGGTGGTCCCATTGTATGTGGTCATGTTAGTAAAAAGTCAAAAAAATGGAAATTTTGTTAAAAATCATCCCCCATTTTGTTCACTTTTATGATTATCTAAATAGATTTTTTTTTTTTAAAAGACGCTTATTTTTCAAGCAACCCTGCGCCTCATGTAGTCATGTGAGATGTAAATCAGGCACACAATGAAACTGTAGACCAACCAACTGTACTATGTACTATGGTTTACAATATTGGGTTGAAATAGAAACACCGATCAACTATTTTTTTTTTTTAAATTCACATATTTAAACATATATACTTTTAAGAAAAGACATGAAAAGGCTTTAGAGGAAATAAAAAATTTCAACTCAATACTAACCCGGGAGGTCGAGCCTCTAAGACAACTCGAGTTGATTTTTTGTCTGTAGTTCTAGTCATGTTACTAACCCATTTTTCGGCCTACACAAAAAAAAAAAAAAAAAAATATATATTAACATAAAAAGATTAGTTAAATGCAAAAAATGGCAATGTACTTGTATTTGTTTTTTTAGTATAAATTTTCAGTTTTAGTTCTTCCTGTTATAAAATTGTACTTTGAAAGCTCAACCTTATTATAGCAATGTAGTCCAAATACAAAGTAATTTTCACTTCTATAAACCATATATTCATTTTAATAAGTGGACTTTTTCATGAGTAATTATAGAGCAAAGAGCTTAAATCATTTAGAGCATGCGTATACAAATCATGACAGAATATTTGATTAGTATATACAATGGGAAAATTAAGTGCATACCAGTTTAAAAGCTGAATTCAACTTCACTAACTCAGGGCGGGAATTTTTCTTGGACAACTCCTCTGTGCTCATTGCAACTATTCAGCATAAGCAATAAAAAGTCTAAATTCAAACACTATAAGAATTGTTAAAAGTACATGTCAATTGCTGGAATGACCAAAATTAGCACAATCCCTAAAGCAAAATGAGAATTTCAACACTGTTTAAATTCTAAAGTCCAACTAATTTTAATCTAAATCAAAACAACAATTTCAACTTTCAAATAATCAAAAAGAAAGACTAAGATTCATAAGTCGAATAGTAGTTTAACTATCACAAATCCAGAAGTCACAATTATCTTTCAAATTAAGAATGAATTAACATACAGAGGACTAATGACTTGATTAAGATTTCAGATGTGTGAAAATCCACAGGCAGTAGTGTGTTCAGACTTTAGTTGATCTCTACATATCTACTTTCTTTGTAAAGTTAGTTTCAGTTGTTTTCTTAGTTCTCATTATACATTATTGCTTGGACACATCTTCCATAACTAATTACAAACTACTCTCTTACTTCATGAAAGTTACAATATTTAAAATTCTAAACTAATAAAGTTTTGATTGGCTTTGATTTCAAATCGTTTTATTACTTTCCTGTGTGAGTGAAATTATTCCGATAACAAAAACGCAAGTTCATGATTTTCGATAAGATGAATGAATCTTAGGCACATAGCAATCCTTTACTAACAGATTTCTTCCAATTAACTGCGGCAGCATCATTCACAGGAAGCTAAGTTGAACAGATAAAAAGTGTACGAACACGATGACACTTCGGTAGATTAATCGTTATAAATTCCTACAACCGAAACTCATAAACCCTAAATTATCAATTGAAAGGGTTTCTACCAGTGCAACAGCGCAGAACGAAGATTTGCTACTTTCATGTACTCAGATTAAAGTTTTAGAATTGTATAATATGCATACCTTTGTATGCCGGAATAAGGAATGAACTGGAAGACTGGAGGACTGGATGCGAGGTATCACTCGACGCCGTTTCTTCCCACCATGTATGAATCTGGGTTTTGTAGAATGTGGGCCAATGAGCAGGAAATACTAATTGAGAAGCCCATACCAACACAATTTTTGGGCCGATAACTTTTTTAGTTTGTCATATTATAAGCTGTATTAAATATAAGCTGAAATACTATTATTAATTCTCAATTAATAATAAGCCTTGAATAATGAAATATTTAATTAATTATAAATTTTTTATTTATTTGTTCTGATTTTCAAGTGTGTGACTGCATTGATTCACATAAAAACAATAATATTGTTATTTCTTTGTTTTTGCAAATTAATTCCAAAAATTATTTCATATTAAGATTTAAGACATCCCTTGTAGTTTTCTACTATTTTCTAAACATTGTTTTTAAGCTAATGTTTGAAAGCAGAGGATTTTCCTTTGCAATATTTTTATAAAATTATAGTTTAAAGTATAAACATATTTTCGAATTGGGCCTAGTTGATGGGATGTCACAACTTGTATCAAAGCATTAGCTTAAGTAAATTGGGTTTATAAGAATCTCCTAGTTAACCGAGTTTTAGTTTACTATATTAGGTAGTATATGCATTCTGAGTGATTGTCTGGTAGCTATTTGGGGAAGTAGAAGCAGACCTATGTTTCTACAAAATTACTATTTTTATATTAATCAGTGTATTATATTCCCTAACATTTTTCAATGCGTGTTTTGTTGTACATTGAGCCGACTTTTATGTACATAACTATGATGGTGAGGACACGCAGTAGTGTAAGGAAGTAGGGAGAAAAGCTAGAACTTAGGAAAGGAAATGTTGAAACTTTTAAATACATCAAGAAGTGATAGTGTGTAGAGGCATTCATTAGTCACAGGCCACCCAATTAAGGATCATGGAAGCTTAAGCCCGGAGATGACTTGGAATTGGGTCACGGAGATGGAGAATATCTTCGCCGATTGTGATAGTGTTGAACAAAATAAATTAAGTCATGTCGTGCATATTTTAGAGCATTTGGAGTGGATCGAGAAAACGGCGTTATAGTCCATGTGGACACACCATAACGGCGTCGTAACGCGGAGCACACTGCCCCGCCTTCTCATTATTGCAATTCCCGTGGTAACGACGAAGCCAGACAACGCGCATTTTTGGACTGTTTTTTGACCGTTGCATGCAATCCAACCGTTGACAAATGATCAATTATAATAAAAAAAAATACTCCTTTTTTTACTATAAATACAACACTTTTTACCCAATCTTTTTAAATCATTCTTATCTGTTTGGACAAAATCCAAATTTACAACCAAATCTTTTCCCAACTTTCTCTTCGATGCAATAAACAACCACCCAACCACCACCTCCAACACAATCATCGGTCGAAACAAAAACGGGAGGTAGAAGGTGAGGGAAAGGGAAAGGGATAACTATAGCGGTTGAAACGGAAAGTGAGGAAATTCCACAATGGTGGCACCGGATGAGGAATATGTTTTGGCAGCGGCATGGTATAGTACTTCAAAAAACAAAAACCACGGAAATGGTATAAAGCAAGATGCATATTGGGATGCGGTGCTCGAAAAATTTCACGCTATGTTGAAGAAAAAATCGTATTGTGATATGGACATGCTAAGCAGCAAATGGAGTCAAATAAATAAACGCCGCACAAAATGCAATGGTATTTACATCAGGCTTCAGACGCAACAGCAGAGCGGAACCAACGAATTTGCTTTGTTCAAATCTGCAAAAGAACAATAACGCGTCGAAATGGGACATGTGTTCGAGTTCGAGAAAGCATGTGAGTTTGTGCGAGTATATCCAAAATGGATTTAAACTCCTAAATCGTCATACGTTCAATCGAAGCGGTCGAGAAATTCGGGTTCGGTCAACGTTTCGGACGGGCGAACTAACATTGACTTCAACGCCTACACTGATGAGATTATGGATGATATCGGGGAGATATCCCACCATGACGACCGACTGGATGCGACAAAGTGAAGCGCGCGCAACGACATGTCGATTAAGCTGAAAGAAGGGCACAAGAGTTAGCAGAAACGAAAGAAAAGTTCGACCAACACAATTTAATAGCAAGAGAAAAAAAAAGTCGAAGTACAACGCTAACGCTTGGAATTCCTTCTCCGTCAAGCAGAGGAAGATCAAATGACGAAGGATTTGACAATTTTTCGCACTAGCGAGCAAGATGAATCCACGAGAAGTGCAAGTGCTCAGAAAGATGAAAGAGAAGATGGTAAAGAAATATTTGGACTATGGCTATCGTTTTTATGTTTTTAACTTATGAGTATTATATTTTTTGCTTTCAATGTTTTTTTTTGTTTAATGTTATTTTTAGTTTTTAAATGTTATGTTTAATTTAGGATTTAATTAAATAGCATGTCTTATTAATTTTTTTTAAAATATTATAACATAAATAAAATAAATTAAAATAAATCAAAAAATTTCAAAAAAAAATAAATAAATAAATAAAAATGATGACGTGAACATTAGTGGGTGTTATACCATGTTATAATATGGTGATCATTTCCTTATAACATGTGAGGTGACATCAAAATAGTAAATCTTCTAAGTTGGCCAGTGTTTGCAACATGTAAGGGTAAAATAATGTCTTTTGGTGAGTTGTGGAAAACAATGTTTTTTTGATTCAATAAAAAGTATAAAAGGATTGTGTCTTTTACATGTATTTTTTGGTTGTGGTTGATCTAAATCACCCATGATTAAAAAAGACTGTTATTTGGTTCTTACTGCTAGTAATCAACATAACTTCATCAAGAAATATCGTTTCTAATCTCCCAACAAATACATAACCCTTTTCTTCATCTTATAGTGTTCATAATATTACATATAAGAAAGGGTTCATCTAATAGCCATTCAATCTACATTACTTATATATGAGCCTTCTTAATTTGATGTGAAGGATTACATGAAATTCCACCAATAAGTTCGTCTACTTGATGAAATTTTGTAGTTTCATTCGATGGAATTCTTCTTATTTTCCAACCAAACACAACACAAATCGAATCCACATAAAAACTTGAATTCCAATTTCTTGATTCACATTATGCAAGACATGCACGTAGAAAACAATCCCCACCTCTTCTGTCAAATAAAACAAGACCCACATTATTAGTCACACCACGTCAAATTTGTACTTACAATTCCAATTTATTGACCTATCAACATCCATTTGATTTGGATTACGTCTGTTTTCAACTAGCATATTCTAACAACTTTAAAGATATAAAATTATGGACTCCAAATGCGATAAATATACAATATGAACATTTTAATCATATAATGAGAAACATGGGTTAAATTTTGATTCGTAATCAGTTAGATAGGCAAGTTAATAAAATTTGGCTATAATATAAAGAATTAAATGGTTTATAAATTTGTATTAAAATGTTTGCAGTCGTATTATTTTATTATAAGAAAGCTTTATAATGGGATTAACTACTAATGATTAAAATAAGATGTGTCATATTAAAATTTTTATTTCTTTAAACTATCAAATAATCATATATTTCCTAATTTGTGTTGATGAAATTCTTTTAAGTTCATAAAATTAATTTTCGGACAATTCTAACACCAAAAAATAATAATAATAATAAATCGATTATTTTGCATATTGATTCATGTTTTGCAAAATTTTTTTGAAAAAGAAATAGCAAACGATAAGTTTTTTGTAGCGGATTATTTTATAAAAAATTTTGTAAAGCAAAATGAATTTGGAAAATATATATTTTTCAAACTCGATTGTTATTTTGTGGTATCATCTTAAAAGATGATCATTTCTTATTATTATGGCTTTAGTGCTTTGCAATATCATCGAGCATTACTTTAAAAAGTAGAAATCACTCAAATCGGATGTTGAAATATAGTCGACCATTTTCTTCCACCAACATTTATTAACGAATTTACTTACCCTTCTGGGCTTCAGACGGAGGAGCTCCGGCGAGATCTTGTACAAGTCCTCATCCACAGCCTTCGGTTTCACTCGCCTGCTCCATGCTCCGGTCGGTGTTGCTACACTCACAGGGCTCGGTGGTTCCTTCTTATCACTGTCGTACGCATTTTTCGCTTCCTTTGGGTACCTCTACGTAACAGAAACAACTCCAAATTCAGATCGATCACAGTTTTGATTCGAGATTTGAATATCAAAAAAACGATGTTAAAAATGGTTAAATTGTATTACAGTTACTCTCCTGCGAGGAGCGACAATAATGGCGGGAGTGACGATGTTATTCTCGTATAAATCACCGGCTACGTAGAGATCGCGATCTCCGGAGTAGCTACAACGGATCAAACCGGCTTGTCTGGCGGATTCGAAGCATTGTGTGAATTGAAAATCGTCGTTGAAATCCCAACTACCGAAGGCAGGAATGTGATTTCTTGAGTAATGCTGTAAATTTAGTTGAAACAACTAATTAAGATTAAATTCGAGTAGAAAATTAACATTCGATCGTACAGAAATGAAGGAAACAATAGCTTACATTCATGGAGAAGAATTTGAAAGCGAAGTGAGATGGGGATCTGTTGAAGAAGGACTGCTCCCTGTGTTGTGGGGTATTGATTTTATTCGGGAAAAGCAATGACTACTGCGGACTGTCCACTGGGTTTAATGGTGAGGTAACTGGTATGTACAGTAATGGTGGCAGTGATAGAGATAGGAGGAAGATCCGGTGGGGACATAAACGGAGTTGAGAGATGTAGGCTGTTTGTAAAAAGAAATGATATTTGGGTTTTTGACTAAAAAAGTCTCCCTTTCACATAAGACATATGCTTTTGTCCAATGGAAGAATCTCCGACGCAATCAACTTCTTTATACAAGTTTAAAGTTTCATGGACTATTTTATATAAGTTTAAAGTTTGGTGGACTTTATATATATATATATATATATATATATATATATATATATATATATATATATATATATATATATATATATATATATAATCTCGTGGACCTTAACAACAGTATACTTTGGCTGTTTTGAAATTGTGCCACCAAACTTTTGTCAATTGCCGTATCGTCCCTTGCCGCCCCTATCATCCAATAACCGACTACTTCCACCGCCTTCTAGAGCTTTCATCTACCTTCATCTTTTGGACTACTTCCCCAAAAATTCTCCATCGCCCTCTTCGATGCCCACCGCCATCAGCCTCTGGCCTTCACAAAGACCCTAATTACTTTCAATCACCGATGCTGTTTGTATTTTGAAAAAAAACATCTTCAAACCTCTTATTGCTGCGCGGCACAGCACACGCACAGCACTTTTCATCTCGCAGCTGTTTGTTTTTTAGAAGTCTTCGGAGTCAAAAACCTCTACGCGTGCTTTGTTTGGCGCAACACTTGTACTGCCTCTTCCAACCTCTTTTTCTTCTTTTTTTTCTTGTTGTAATTTTGATTATATGTTGTTGAAATTTTATTTCACCTTTTTTTTTTTTTTTTTTTTGTTTATTCTTGTTGAATTTTTTTTTCGTTTTTTTATATTCAATAATGATAATTTATTAATGAAATATCATTATTTTTTACTAAAATATCTTTATTTTTTGTTGAAATATCATTATTTTTTACTGAAATATCATTAATTGTTGCCGAAATGTTATACATTATTAAATTTTACGTATTAAAAAACTATTTCGATTTATAAAATTAGTTTATTTTAATTTTTTAATGTCTGCAGCAGTATGCAGATGTTAAAAAAACAAACACGCTTCTTTAACTCTCTTTCCCCCTTCGATCACTGACATCGCACCACTCAACATCGACCATCACCACATCGATTGAATGTTTTTCTTTGTTAAAGATCGAAGAATCCATACATGTCATCAAGAGAAACTTTTGCGTCACATCGATTTGCAGGTAAGATGCGTTCTCTCTAATGGAAGACTCATCTGGAATCATTGTTCTTAAGGAATGGTGGGGGGTTTATTTAGAAATCAACAAACTGTGGAAAGTCGGAATTAAACCTCTCCCTTATCTATTTGATTGTAAACCGGGTACCCCATCTTTCTGCACCATCTCTCCCGCTCTCAGGCATAAGCCCCACCAGATGAAAAATCAATACCATAGCCACTGATATCACTCAACTTCCCCACCCATCTTTGCTTTTTCTGCTGATGCTTGCTTCCTGTCTATACTTTTATTTACTTTTCAGGTGGTAAGAGAAGACAAATCTGATGCAGAGATTAGGAAGAGTGGATCTTGGATGTTCCGGTCTGATTAAGCCAAACAGATCAGAGAAAGGTTTCAAAGTACAGGTAGCCTGTTTAACATATGTATATATTCAATATATTTGTTTGATTCCATCTTTCGAATTTACTTTTTGTGAGAGCTTTATTATACTTGGGTTTTTTTTACTATGAATAGTAACTGTTTGGTTAAATGTCTCAATGAACAAACAAAACTTAAAGTGTGCTTCAATTTGCAGTTCAGTTTGAAGTGGTATGTTTGTCACAACTAGCCTTTTTGGCTAGGAAATTTCGTCCTCAAGTAAGCAAGTACTATTGTGAGACTTGTGCTAACACTTCTAAGTGTACAATATGAGTTCCTAATGAGCCATGAAGTGTTAGACTGAAAACTCTCCAAGTATATGAAATCTCTCCCAAATCTCATCAAGTATGTGAAATCTCTCCCAAATCTCTCCAAGTATGTGAAATCTCTTCCAAATCTCTCCAAGTATGTGAAGTCTCTCCCATATGTGAAATCTCTCCAAGTATGTGAAATCTCTCCCGAATCTCTCCAAGTATGTGAAATCTCTCTCAATTCTCTCCAAGTATGTGAAATCTCTCCCAAATCTCTCCAAGTATGTGAAATCTCTCCCATATGTGAAATCTCTCCAAGTATGTGAAATCTCTCCCAAATCTCTCCAAGTATGTGAAATCTCTCCCAAATCTCTCTAAGCACCTTCCTTAGTCGAAAACAGCTCAAAACCGGAAGAGGAAACCCAAAAGGACCCTCTTGGTTCGGAACCCTCTTGGTCCGGAATCCTTTTGCTCCTGAACCTCTTGCTCCTGAACCTCTTGCTCCTTAACCTCTTGGTCCGGAACCCTCTTGGTCCGGAATCCTTTTGGTCCTGAACCTCTTGCTCCTGAACCTCTTGCTCCTGAACCTCTTGCTCCTGAACCTCTTGGTCTGGAATCCTTTTGGTCCTGAACCTCTTGCTCCTGAACCTCTTGGTCCGGAACCCTCTTGGTCCGGAATCCTTTTGGTCCTGAACCTCTTGCTCCTGAACGTCTTGCTCCTGAACCTCTTGGTCCGGAACCCTCTTGGTCCTGAACCTCTTGCTCCTGAACCTCTTGCTCCTGAACCTCTTGGTCTGGAACCCTCTTGGTCCGGAATGCCTTCTAAGGAGCCAAGAGGAAGCATTTTCGGAACCTCTTAAGTGACTTCGGAGGTGAGAAGCTCCGGAAGGCTTCACTCCGGAAGCATCATGATCGGACCCTTCGGATCTGCTTCGGACGTCTAGCCGCCTCGCACCTCGGTCTGGACTTACCCGTTTCGCACCTGACTCCGGAAGTGAGGATTGACTTCGGAACCCGCCCAGTACCTCCGGAACCCCCCTTGTACTCACTTCGGACCCTCGCAAGTAGGAAGCTCCACTCCAGAAATTTAACTACAGCTTCGGAATTCGCATAATGGCTCCGGATTTCACCATTTAGCTCCGGATTTTGGACTATTCCGGACATTTTCTTCATTTTGGGGTATTTTGAGGTCGGGAATCCCACCAAACTCGTATTTTTCTTAACTAAGACCCCTAAAACCTTTATTTTATGCCAAATTTAATTATTTAAATTATATTTACATAAAATAAAAGTTTAGGATTTAGGAAGATCCTATCCTAAATCAAGATAAAGACAAAGAGGTTGACTTTGTGATTTGATGAAGTTCTCATTTCCCATACAAATCATAGTATTCCATGCTTTACCCACCAAATATTCATGCATGGACCACCAGATACCCATGCACCAAAGATTCCCTCCCTTTTCATCCTCAAATCAACGTCAGTAAGGAGTTTAGACTTCACCTTCTCCCACACTTTTCCCATTTTCTCTCAAAAACTCATCTTCAAGCAAGAACAGGGGATCTTGCTGAAAGGAAATTTCTCAACTTCTTCCTGGGAAATTTTAAGGTAAATTCCTCCACTCATCTAATATTTTATAATATTTCAAGATGAATCCATATTATTTTGCTCATAATAATATGTGATGATCATCCTTAGGAAAACATCCCTCCCAGGGAAGTTCTTCATCTCAGCCAAAAGTTTAAGCTTGAGATCTTCACTCCATAACTCCAAACAACTCCTCAACCAACTCAAGGTGAGCTTCATACCCCACCTTTTTCAATATTTTAATGTTTTTGGGGGAGAGTACAAGTCAAATCTTGCCTAAATACTTGCATACTTGCATGTATATGTATGTTTGTATGTGTGTGGTAATATTATTAAATTATTATTTTAGTAATATCCTCATGAACGTAAGATTTCACAACTTCATAAGAAACAGAAGATACTTTGTGTACAAAAGAGCCTCTCAACTATTGGATGTGTCTAACTTAAGCCCTTTATCTATGCTTTCATGTCTATAAATAAAACTTATAAAAAGGAACCTTGATAAGTTGACACTTATTCTAGTGATTTTCGAAAATGGGAACTTTGTGACTATTTTGCAAACTGTCAGGGGTTATTTTATAAATATTCAATATAAAAGTTTGCGTAAAGAAAATACACAAATAGAGCCTTTATGACAGAAATATTTGCATGTCATAAACTGCTGTCGTAAAACCTCCAACAACATAAGTAATGTTCTATATGTCATAAAACAGAAAATGCGTGTCATAACCGGCAGTTATAAATTTATACAAATTATAACTTGACACTTTTTCTCTTGACTAAAATGACTTATTTTTTTCAATAAACGAAAAGGAACGAACACGAGCACCTAGTTAACGAGCACAATCAACGATATGGAATAAGAACGATATTTTTATTCAACAAGTACGAATTTCATTATTTATCTAACAAATAATGGATCTCTAACGGTTGCTCAAAAGGTTGTTAATATTCTAGTCAGACAAATCTCAAAAGTACCTAAATATAAAAATATTAGTGTACGTCTAAGTCCTGTAAGGAGTTATAGCCAGAGTCTCTTGGAGGGAGAGCGGGAATTTGTGTATAGATCTATACGGGGTTGACACCCCGCACCTTCGTTGTTCGCTACAGCTAGACAGGCCAGTCTAGGGTGAAAAATGTCTTTCCCAAACCGAGGGCGCCTGAGAAACGCCAAAACAGGCACTTCGTCAGATTAGTATGGTTATAACGACTCACTAGAATATGTTATGTCATCTATAAATTTATGTAAGGAAAAACCTCATAAATAAATTTTTGGCACGTTGTGTTGACCGTCCTATACATGATAAGTGATGGTCCGCATTTGTTGCGTTGACTGTCCTTTTTCATCGCGTAGAATGTCCACAATTGCCATGTTGATTCTTTCTCCTAACAAGTATAGAGTCGTAATACTGCTATTTTTACAAATTAAAAAGCGTAGGACTCTATGGAAAACGTTTGTAAACGATTTTGAAAATGATAAATTAACCCACACATATACATAGTTGGAACTAGAACTTACGAATATTTTATAGCAGAAAATATAGGATTTTCTGGAGAAAACGATTTTCTACGATTTCGATAACGATAAACTAGAACGCACACTCAATTTTACTCGATAAGAGGAACAAGATTTTCAACCATGTTCTCTTTTTGAAAATAAGGGATTTTTCTGGAAACGGTTGACTATTACT